TTTTGTAAAATATTGAATTAGTTTCTTTCCCGTTGTTCAAAGAAGAAAAATGTATTAGAATAGTGTTTTTAGATTTCATTTTGTATGTATGGATGATTATTGTTTTGAATTATAATTATCGTGATAAATAAAATTTGTACTTGTTATTATTCTTTTTCCAATTTGTTGAACAAATTATGAGTCTAAGAAGATTTTTTTCGTATGGTGCTTTGTATAATTCTTTAATCGAAAGTGTAAAATGTAAAGACAGTAAAGTTGTAAACTATAAATGAAATAACAGTTAAATATCTTTTTGATCCTTTTGTTTTTAGAGTACAAAAACAAAAATATCTTTTTGATCTTTTTGTTGTCGTTATTATGTAACAACAATTGAGTTTTTTGTTGTTAATATGTAACGACGAATATTGTGTCGTCATTAATTATTAACGACGAACTTTGTCGTTAAAACCAATAACGAGGGAACCTGTAACAACCACTTGACGACGAGAAAAAAATGGTCGTTAAAAGTTTTAACGACAAACTTTCGGGCCTATAACGACCATATTTTTCGTTGCTAAAAGTCCTTTTTCTAGTAGTGTATGATAAAAACAAACCAGAAGGTACTCGAAGAGCCTGGACACCTAGGAAAAAGTGTAAATCTCTCAAATCCTTCATAGAAAAGCAGCGACCAAGACAAGAAATAAATGTAGAAATAAAGACCGGAGCGTGCAGAGACCGGGGTGGCCGGTGTGTGCGGTGTAGCAGGTGGTTGAGAAGTGGCCGATGTTTGTGGTGTTTTTTAGGTGGCCTGGGTCAGCAGGTGCGGCTGAAGATGGAGCTGCGGATAAGTAACAGACGGTGGTGGATTGCTAGTATGAAGATGGATCATGCTGACCGAGGACAATTGTGGCAAATCCGATTTTTCTGAAAATGACATTAAGTCGGAATATGGAAAATAATCTTCACGAAAACGAAAATTCCGATTGATATAAATCTTGCCAGAAATAGGATCAAGACACCGGTAACCTTTGTATTCAGGAGCATATCCTAGAAATACACATAAAGTGGACCTAGGAGACAATTTATTTGAAGAAGTGGCATTAAAGTTTGAAAACAAGCACACCCAAATATGCGCATAAAAGAAAAGTCAGGAGGATGATGAAATAATTTTTCAAAAGGAGTACCACCATTTAAATTAGGAGTAGGGAGACGGTTAATATTATAGGTAGCGGTAAACACGGCATCTACCCAAAATGTAGCCGGCATCTTAGCCTCAAAAAGCATAGTACGGGTTAATTCAACTAGATGTCTATGTTTACGTTCAGCAACCCCATTCTGCTCAGGGGTGTCAGGACAGGATTTTCGAAATAATATGCCATTATTCAGAAAAATATCCCGCATACCATAATTATCAAACTCATCCCCTCCATCACTTTGATTTTTTTTAATTTAGAGTCAAGCAGATTTTCAACCATTATTTTAAAAGCTTGAAAATGCCTCACAACCTCACTTTTATTGCGCATTGGGTAAAGCCAGGTGAAGCGAGAAAAATCATCAATAAATAGAACATAATATTTAAAACCGTTTGAAAAAATAACAGGAGATTGCCAAACATCAGAATGAATTAAATATAAATGAGTAGTAGACCTATGCCACACTTCATGAAAAGGTAACCAGTGTGATTTTCCTAAACGACAAGAAGTACAATCATGGGAAAAACTAGAGGTACTAAGAATATTTCCTGGCTTTTTAAGTGTATCTAAAATACGGCTGCCACAATGTCCCAAGCGACGATGCCAAACTGGTCCGCGAGCAACATGAGAGCTAAAAGCAACTGGCAAAGAGGAACTACTGCAAGCTTGAAGAAGCACCTTCCCCGATATTTTGTCCTTAACACAAACAGAATTTTTATCAAAAATAACAAAACAGTTATTATCGGCACATAATTTTTGAATAGATAATAAATTATATTTGAGGTGAGGATCATGATAACAGATTTTAAATAAAGAGGCCGAGGCAGAGTAGTTAGTAGATCACCAATAGTCGTGACTGGTAAAGTAGAACCATCCGCAACCGTCACTTTTAGTGGTCCAGAATAAATAGATTTATTTTCTAAAATACATTCATTAGCGGTCAATCGGTTATATGAGCAGAAGCACCAGAGTCAGGGTATCAAACGGCTGGAGCAGACTCTCCTGTAGGAACGGCCAAGGCAGGAGTCGAAGGTTGAGCAAAACGAGATGGAAAGGCAACAGCAGAATGACCTGGGGAATTACATATTTGACAGACGATAGCTAGGGGAGGAACGGAACCAAAACTATTCTCAATCGAGGGAAAGCCTGCAGACACATAGTTAGTACAAAAAGTAGATAGAGCACGAGTATAAAACAATGACTGAACTAAATTACATGAAGTTGTACTCGGCGTCTCCATTGGATGCTGCTGGTAAGGTCCTCGCCCATAGCCCCCAGAGTGCTGGCCTGTCCGCTGAAGGACCCCTGCCTGCCGAAGGTCTATTGCCCGTGGGGGAATTAATGGATGCTAAATTTTCAGCAATGGTTCTAATTTCGCCCAAGTACTTATCCATGGTTTGGTTAGGCTTCTTCTTGGTATGGGTTAACATTTGTTTGAGTTCAATTGATCTGGCCAAACTGGCTGCCATAAATCGGGATTCTAATTTTTCCCATATAGCAGTTGAATTTTTCTGAGAATGTTTATCTTTTTTTGGTTAATAGAAAAAGCTCATGAACGAACCGTTTGGTCCAGTTTCAGCCAGTGGTAGTACTCAGGATTGATACTCTGCGTTTGATACAGATCATAGCTAGGAATAGAGAGGTGGTGCCGGAAGGGAGCCATCAAGAATACCCAAGAGTCCGTTTGAGACCAAAAAGGACTCAAACTGAGTACGCCAAGGTAGGTAATCTTCTACTTTAGACAATTTTATGGTGACGATGCTAATGATAGATGAAGCTCCAAAACCCATACCTTGAGCAATAGCAGCAAACGACGTTGGCAACGTCGATGGAGGAGGTCGATTGCCTACCAAACCGGCTGGTGGAGGCGGCATAAGCAGTCCCGGATGTTGCCGAAAATGAGCTGCTTCTTCAATTTCTAAATTGTAATGATACGTTTTTAAAAAAAGTTTAGGTCTATTATTGAAAGGAAAATGTTAGCTTGTGAAAAGTGATACTACCTCCTTTCCTAAAAATTCTTCCCGGTTTGAATTGACACGCTTATTAAGAAAGTGGAATAAAGTGTAAATGTGTGGTTGTGGTTGTGTAAGAAAAAGGTAAAATGAATGTGAGCCACACAAATTGTCCAAAAAGGGAAAGTGGGAAGAATTTTTGGGAACGGCCCAAAAAGGAAAGTGAGAAGTATTTTTGGGAATGGAGGGAGTATTATTTTTCATTTTTTGGTCAGCTTGTGAAACATTCCCAAAAAAATAAAAAGTGGGCCCTATCGGCCCACAAATCTACTTAAGCTCCTAAGTCGAACGCGGAACGCCTCGATTACGCCTTATTGTGCATCGATGAAGGCATACATCTCTGCGCCATATAACATAGGTTTCATCTTCTCCGCCTTTAGCCATGCAATAATGCGCCTCTGTGGAAGTTGGGTGAGGCCGCCTCATTGCGTAATTGCATTGCGCAATTTTAACGATGTTTAGAACAACTGTAAAAAAAATGGACTAAATATGTTCTCATACCAAAATATGACACAATCCTTTCGTTCCACTGGACTTTACCAATTTTTCTTTTTGTTTGTTCCAAAAAAATTTGTCACTTTTCTTTTAAGTCAATGAATTTGTGGCTCTATTCATTTTCTCTCATTTGCACAAATATAAACCACACAATTTTTACTAATGTGTCTCACACCCAACATCAAGTTGACAAAGTTGAGTAAAACGAAGTTAATATTTAGGAGTAGAATTATCTTATTTTGAGACGAAAACAAGGACATTCTTATTTAAAGAATTGTTTCATGTTATACTTGTATTTAGTGAATTTTCTTTAATGCCTGCTCTTACTATGCGGTGTCAATTTTGACATTTTGTATTCTGATGTTAAAATAAAAACAGCATATCATCATCATTATCCCAGTGCCGCAAAGGCTCGCACTTACGGTGGGGTAAGGGGGTGGGATGTACGCAGTCTTACCCTTGTACCAAAGCACAAAGAGACTGTTTACGGATGATCCATAGTGAAAATCGCGACCAAAATGTATGGACTGACTACAGCTTCATAACAAAGAAGCGCAGACAGCTTAGTGAACCATTTTTCTTTATTCTATCATATTTTCAAGCAAAAAATAGTGAGTTTTTGGCTCCCTCGCAAATGATGGAAATAAAAACATTATATCAATTAAAGAAAAATAAGTAAGAGTGATAATTAGTTTTGTATAAGATGGATATTATATTATCATCTTCAAATGTTTGTGATTCAGCCAATCAGCCTTATTCAATCTTGATTTAATTTCAAACCTAAGATATGCATTTGTAGCAATCCAAAAACTATTGAAAAGTAGTTTTTTATCCCTCAGCTTTCGAACTTAACTGAAAATACACCAAAAAGCTAAAGACGCAACGTTGTTTAATAATGGAGATATGGAAAAGGTGATGATGTGATAACTGAAATACTAAATGCACTATTTCTCATGAAGATAAAGGATTCGGTAAATGATAATACGTAGTATATGCTTCCTAAAAAAACTACTCCGTATATAAAACAGTCCTGAATTGTTTAGAGACGAGCATTATGCATAATGCATTGATATACTCACATTACGTTATATATTTGCAGTAAGTCGATAAAAATAATTAACGATCAATAAAGATGGGAAATGAATTAGACATTTTTATCTAAAGTTGAATTGAAGTTGCTCAAAAGTCAAAATGTGTCAACTGAACTAAGTAACTTTGTTTGGCTACACAACTCAAGTAACAATAAAAAATGTAAAATTAGAATAAACCTTATGTTTCAGGGAAAATAAGATATTTTTTGAATGAGAGGATGATAAAATAAATTGACATGAACTTATGTCAAATTAAAAGGTTGGACTAAAATGCTAAGAGTGAAAGATGCGTCAAATCATCTTCTCAAGTATTAGTCAAGTTCAAATATTCATCCAAACAGAGCTACATGAATTAATTGTTTCAATTTATTAAATCTCAGCTCAAAATAAACTGAAATGGTCAAATAAACACAGCCTAATTCGTATATGCTCCATTGAAGTCGTTAAATAATGAGAAGTTATACACCCACACAAAAAATGGTAAATCAGTTGCACTAATTGACTAATGGCATGTTGCCTACCGGCCTTAAGCAGCGATCTTTAAAGATATAGGCAAACTATGGATTGGGAGTATGGGACCAAGCAATCTAGCATCACTGCAAAACCAAACACATGATCAGGTGGAGCATATTAGAAATACAATGTTAGCTTGATGTCTAGATGAGAACTGGGCTGGTCAAGTTGGGAACTTTTACACATTACAAAGTTGTTTTTAAGAATCAGTTTGACTTTTTACCAAGTACAAGAAAGCACCAAACAAATGATAAGGTGGAGCATATTAGAATACAATGTCAGCTTGATGTCTAGATGAGACACCTAAGCTTCAAGGAGAAAAAGAAACTTCATTTGTGAATAAAGAACACCAAACTAACACCATCACTTATAGCTTGTTCAATCAGAGTGAATTCAGCTGAAATGGCAGGTCATATAACCATGAAGTTGCTAAATATGTTTAACTGTAAAGAAGAAAATATTTACAGTATATCCATTGATAAAATAAAAATAGAAATACTTGAAGAGTGTAAGAAATACAAAAAAATGCAAAAATGTGCAACTTCAGCCAACAAGTATGACCAACCCATTTTCTTTGCTTCCTAATTAACAAATTCAATGTATGTGTGTATGTATATAGGGTGTGGTTTCGGTAAGAATGATAATTCTTGCATGAAATGAGAAGTATGTGAAAAGGTGCACTTTTAGTTCATCAATGTACACATTTATACTTGGAGCAATTTATGTTGCACAAAAATTGAGTCTCCATTAGTATAAATGTCACTGCACTTTTATTAGATTGTATGTATTGTTGGCATCTTTTGACCTTTTAGATCTCAAAATACAATGAACCAGATTCATTCCCATTTCTTGTATAAGATCATATTCTGTTTTAATCTAATGTGTGTGAATTCACCTTTTGATGAGTATAAACATCTTCTACCCATAAATACAACTGCAGATATCTCAACATCCCAACTTTTAGTTGGCTTTCTTTTCTAAGCTCTTCGTCAATTAACTTATTTTTCATATCAGATTCTAATTGATTGAACACAAACAGGGAATTAACTAGTTCCTTCTAAAACGAAACTGACACCATGATGTAAAAATCTCTTGGAAGAAACTAGAGTACAATGACAATTTATATCAAGAAGAAAACAAAAAAAAAAATCAGGAAATCCAGGACACCCAGTCTTATTATCTTCAGCAGATAGATTGAATACAAAAGTGGGTACAAATAAATGAACCTGAAGAACTCATTTCGATTTCTTTCCTGGCTTCCTCTTAATCACTTCATCAATGTACATTATCCCTTTCCCTTTGTACACTTCTGGTGGTTTGCAGCTTCTGATGGCTGCAGCAAATTGATGAGTCCTTAGCTTATCAATCCCTGTGCAGCAGATCACGTTTGGTTTGAAGCAAAACACACGAACAGCCGGAGGAACAGTCAGCTCAACCTCATGGCTGTAACCCAGTTTTAGGTATAACAAACGCCCCTCTGCTTCAGCTCTTGCTTTGAAACCAACTCCAACTATCTTTAGGAAGCGAAAGAACTTTGATTCCATTCCTACGAAATCATAACCATGGCCTCAAAAGCCAGTTCAATGCAACGCCAAGAGGCTGTCTTTCTTTCTTTCTTTCTTTCTTTCTTTCTTTCTTTCATTGTTTTAGCATTAGTTACATAGCAAAAGTAGTATCTATTACTCTGTAATATATAGAAGCACAAATAAATTTCCTCCGCATTCCCATCTAAAGAGGTCTGAGTGAATAAAAACCCCTTATTGTTGAGAAAAAAACCACAAAAGAATTGAAAAGTAATGTAAAACAGAAAGCCCTATTCTGTGCTAAGCTATGATATCACAACACCATGAATGCAAAGGCACAAATGAGCACCAATGAAGAATCTTTGGAATTTAATAGTCTTACCAAAACATCAAAATAGCACAAAACACTTCAAGCCAATAACTCTAACTCCGTATATTTGTTCAGAAAAAAACATGGAGAGTGAAATCCTACAATAAGTCAAAATCCACTTCGATTTTAAATATAAACCCTAAATTAGAAATGGATAAAAGGTTGGACGAGGCTATATACGAATAAAAAGTGAACGCCATTACTTTACCTTCTCTAAGTTAGACCTCTATTCAACAACAAATTCAACAATCAAGGATTGAGTGGTTAAGCGGACGAAACTAACAGCGTTGAAGACCGTGACCGCAAATTGAAGCCGAGCAGATATCAGGGAGCTCTTCCGTTAGCCGGGGGCGACGAGAATTGCGGAGGCCGCCGTTAAGGAAGGGAGGAGAGTGATGGAGAAGTTGGGGAGGAGGAGCAGACTTTAGAAAACCCCTAAGCCAAAATAAGAAAAGAAATTTGAAATTATTGTAGAGCACACTCTTGAGGCACTATTTGACACTGTATAGACACTGTTTGGCACTGTTGAGACACTGTTTGACACTGTTTTGATGTAGATTTCTTTGCCAAAAAAGGAAATAAAGAAGTGTGAAGTTTATTTTAGACCGTCCCAAAAAGGAAAGTGTGAAGTTTATTAAAAACCGGAGGGAGTATAAAAAGTTATTTTGGCACTATAATTAAGTATTATTTATTTTAAAAATGTAAATTTATAATGTTAATTGTATAATTTAAATATTTTAGAATTTATAAAGACACAATTAACATTATAAACTTCCAGTGTGAAATCAATAATGTTACATTTTTGGATGAAATAATACATGACAATGGTGAGAAAAATAATTTTTATATAAAGTTTGGGATATTTAAAATTTTACATTACATGCGCAAGTTTCAGACAGTGCCAAAAACTGATGTGAGTTTTCTCGCATTTAAAATAGATCGTAGTTAAGGGTTGAAGTACGAGTATCATCTCCACAGGGATGGATAAAAGGGAAATAAGAATTAACTAAATTCAACGATTAAACAGAAAATTAAATAAAATACAATTGTGCGAGATTGATCGATTGAAAATAACTAATGTGAATGAACAATTAAATAAAAAGATTGGTTTCTCTCTAATTAACGACGAAGGGAACACGTATTGATTCCGGGTAACCAGATTTCTGGAAGATCAGACCTAATTACATGAATTTAATTTAATTGAGCCTAACTAATCATTACTAAGTTCTTACTAATCATCACATGGATGACTAAGATGTTGTGTATTTTTGAGGTAAATATACATTATGCGCTTCCTAGAGCTTAAATCTCTCCTCAAGCATATAAACACTTTGGGCTTCAATTCATCACCCAGTGAGGGAGTGAGGGAGTGGACACCGATGGGCGTAGCTCAACTGGTAGCGAGGGAGTGCCACAAGGGTTAGGTCTCGGGTTCGAATCCTGGCAACTGCGATGAGGGGTTACTATGCTGAAAAATGCATAGGGCTTCTGCAAGTACCGGGGACAGAGCTCCACTCTTTATCTGTCAGATTGTGATTATAGTCCAATTTACATCCTCCCATCGTGTTGTCCGGTCGGTGTTAGGGGCCCTCAGGGATGGGGTGTCATCTTTTTTTTAAAGAAATGTGACCTAGCTTCGGACTATGTAGGAGGCCGCTATGCTCACCATAGTTTAAAGATTGCACTCACAGGATGAATTTATGTTATGTTTTTTTGTTAAGAGCTCGTCATGAATCAATTGTTGAAAGTTGACAACTCCAATACCCATTTAAAAAATAGGATATTATACCTACCATTCAATTAATTGATCCAAATCATTATACTTTCTTCATCCCAAAAAAGTTGGCCAAATTTCCTTTTTTGGATGTCCCAAAAAAATTGTCATTTGTATTTCAAGTGAAGAATATGTGGCTAAAGTTAATTTTCACTCCTTTGTACAAATTTCAACCACATGATTTTTATTTTATTAATCCATGTGAAAGTTAACTTTGGCCAACCTTTTCGAGACGAAGAGAGTATCATTTTTAATTTAGATTTAAATAATTCAACTGCATCATTCTGATTGGTCCATGTTGACAAATGTATGATATATATAGAATCTATCTTATTGAAATCACGGTTGTTTCTTCTTTCCCATCCCTTCATGGGTATCATGACTCAACACATTTTTCTTCTTTTGCCCCACTCTACAGAGAACATGGCAATTTGAGTTTGATCATCCGCCTCATGCACCGATCATATACTCTTCCCTCCGTTGTGCCCTCAAAACTTTCACATCTTCTCTTATTTCACGAGCTAAGTGTGTGTGACCGCATTAAAATGGTCGTGTGTCTCAAATTAATATTTTAGTATAGATTAATAGAGTTCGTATCTATCCAAAAAAGTGTTTTTGAGGTCATTGTAGGCGTAATAAATAAAAGTAAGAGATTGGGGTTGGCTATTTTCATGGGCGGAGCTAGGGGTGGGCCAACCCTGGCCCTGGCCCTCCTGGCCCAGCCCAAATTTTAAAAAATGTCTAAATTTTGAGGGTAAAAAATTTTGTATGAATTTTTTTCCAAAAATATTCTTTGTATCGGCCCAGTCCGGCCCAGTCTCCTGGCTCCGCCCCTAGCTATTATGATAAATCAGAAACCAAATCAAATAATCAAATGAATGAAATAAAATATCAAAGGTAATCAGTTTTGATTTTGCTATTTTTCACTTAGTGAAATGCTCGTTGATCATGGTTACTACTTTAATTCTTAATAATCATTAGTATTAACTAGTTTTTTCACCCGTGCAACGGTTATTATTTGATACTAATTTAATTATTGCAAATGAATGGATAACACTTGCCTTTTTCTTTTTTATTTAAGATAAAATGTAAATTATAAATTGGTAAAATAAAATGTGATGAATATCAAATTGGTAAAATAACATGGGATAAATATCATCAATTCCGAAACGTAAACGAACAAAGCCACACATGCAGCGCAAGTATACGTACAGTGTTTTAATTTTGATGCCCTTAAATTTCTTATTCATTGAACTCTATGTAGAAACATCAACATGTTGCTCATTGTGCATCATTGCATGTCACTTCGATGTCGAAGAAGGGGTGCTTTGTAATGTGTCATCTACTTTTGAGAATGATGTCTATATACAAACAATTTTGAATTAACGTTGAACAGACACACATATTTGGATAAATAAACAATAATTACTTGCCATATTTGATTCAACTATGGCCGGAGAAGCAAAAAGTAAATCAAGATCGTCATGGGAGTTATAATCCTAAACATTCACATAAAATGTATGAGTGCAGCTAGAAGAAAATTATAGTTAACTTGATATATAAATATATATGGTTAGATATTGTTAGTGCAATTATTTGGCAATATATTTTGCATTAAAGAGAGTTGATCACAAAAGTTAAAGAGGCTTAATGATGGCTGTTGTAACGGATTTGTGTTTATTGCTGGAGTTATCAACGATATTAAGGCTGGAGGTTACTTATTTTTGAGCTGGCCAACATTGATGACGAGTTGCGAAACCGACGACGGGTCGGAACCGTTACGTCAAACCGCCAAAACAGACAAATTGAGTCATTGAAGCGTCAAGAATATCATTTTTAAATATTGTAACGTTTTTTGTACATTATTAGGCTCCTTAATGTGATTAAGGAGGGTATTAAATGTGTTTGACCAGCCTTTATGACGGATTTGAATCCGTCGGTACGTAACGGATGGCCAATCCGTCAATAACGGCAAAAACCATCATTAGAGCTTTAATTGCTTTTCCTATAAATAGAATAGCCTCATTGTAATCAAGGCAGCTGAAACATTCGGATAACACACAAGTTTTCATTCTTATTCACTCTCTTGTCATCTCCTTCTCTATTCTTGTTCGAAGCCCTTTCTTTATACAAATTCCTTTTTAATTAGTTTTAGCTTATCAATATTTTGCTTAAACAATTTGGCGCCCACCGTGGGGCATCGTGCAAGAAAGAGTTTAGATATGGCAGGAACAAATCAATTGTTGATTGAATTCCATCAACAATTGGAGACAGTCCGAGAGGAGATTCGGCGTGAGATGGCGGAGAGGATGGCCCTTCTTCAATGGGAGAACGATGTACTTCGGTCCCAGGTACAATCCGCAGTGTCAATAGCCTCGAATTCAAGGCCCAACCAGAGAACTGACCTTATGAATGCTGCCACAAGGTTGGATCTCGGAGTCTCCCCGCCATCGACGACTCCACTCGCGGCATCGACGGATCCAGTATCTCTTACGCTGGGTCTGTCGCCAACGCCGACTGGAGAGCCATACTCGACGGTCATATCGCAAGTCATCCCATATACGCCACTCGTGCCAGAGACGACGCCACCAGCCAACATACCAGTTTGTTTCTTCCCGGAAACCCTTCGGGTCAGATCGAACGGGTCAGGCTTGCATGCCGGCGACGAATCTGCATTCCATCCCGACGGAACCATCAATTCCCCACTATAGGAGCACAACCTGTGGAAATCCCGGTCCGTCCAACTCTAATCCGTCAACTGGTGCGACTCATGTCCCGACGGAACCGTCGGTTCCTCGTTACCAAAGCAAAACTTACGGAGACGCTGATCCGTCAAGCTTCATGCAGGATGCCAGACGTAACGGGCCTAGTGTGTCATTTCTGGAACCTCAGACGCAACGCCTTGGCAGACCTGTCATTACATCAGCGCCGACATTACCTGAACGGCGCCCTGACATTCCGTCACTGACCCGACCTGAAGTCACCCAAATGGTCGGACCAACGACTTCGACTCCATTGTCAATTCACCCGGTCATAGCAGATCAAATGTCCATGATGATGGAACAAATGCGTCAGATGCAAGATAAGATCAACGGATTGCCATGGGCACCCCCACCCTTGGACAGAGCATCGAGAACGTGTTACACAGAGTCTCCATTCAGCAGACGGATTACTGAAGTCGAGATACCCAGGAAGTTCGTCGCCCCTTCCATGAAGATGTTCGATGGTATGTCCGACCCGGTGGAACATGTTGCCCAATACAAACAACACATGCTGGCCGTATCACTTCGACCAGACCAAAGGGAAGCATGCATGTGCATAGGATTTGGAGCGACACTTTCAGGACCGGCCTTAACCTGGTTCGTCAACTTGCCAAATGAGGCTATCAATTCATTTGCTGAGCTCGTCGACTTGTTTAACCAGCAATTCGCAAGTAGTCGCGTTTTGGAGAAACAAACAAGTGATCTATACAGAGTTGTTCAGCGACGACGGGAATCATTGAGGGATTATCTTCATCGTTTCAACAAAGAGAAAGTGTCGATTCCAAGGTGTGACATACCAACGGCAATTGAGGCATTCCGAAGAGGTTTGATCGACGATTCAGAGCTGTACCGTGAACTGACGAAATACCCTCTTCGATCCTTCGAAGATGTCCAAGCAAAGGCATTGGCTTTC